AAAATCATGGACAGCAATTGGTTTTAATGAATTCGTACATGCGTATCAAGTTGAAGCCACAAAAAATTGGCAGATATTAGAAGTTTTCCCATCATCTAATTTTGATTTGTTTGAAAAACACGTTTCCGCATCAGATGGAAAATTTTATATCATGTGTTATTATTAACTATTTATAATTAAATTGTTTACGTTTTAAATAAAACATTTATTTTTAAGTAAGAAATTGTAAAATGTTTGAATTAATATCACCTTCTTCGTTTACATTGTATTAAAAAGGAGAGCAATAAATTTTTAAAAATAATAATTAGTTTTTTAATAATGTATTTAATATTTAATATTCAAAATTGTTCCATCAATATTATTCTATACGTTCAAATTTGAAAAAAAATAATTTTTGAATTTTTATAATTTAAAAAATTGAGAATTTGAAAATTTATAAATTTTTAGAAATAAAAAAAATTAAAAAATAATTTATTAAACTTAAATAATATAATTAAAATTAAATAAAATAATTCAACTTTAAATTTTATTTTAAATATTTTATAAATTTTGGAACAAATTAATTAAATTATTATAAATTAATTAATTTATTACTAACAATGCGAATAAATAAAACTATAATTAGAAGCTTTCCTTTTAATAGTAAAAAAATCTTTTAATAATTAAAGGATACATTTTAAAGGAATTTCCTTTTAATAGAAAAGGAAATCCTCTTACATATATATTAAAAGGAAAATCCGCTTAAGATAAAAGGATTCCTTTTTATTTAAATAGACTGTTTTGTGAGTGTAGCACGAGGTATAAGAAAAGTTACATAAGACGAGCCGTACAAGAGTTGGCGCCGGAATCCTATAGGGATTTCAAAATGTCAATGTTCTCTAAAATGTGAAAGTTTTACCCCCCCTCCCTACTTTCTACAATTTTCTTTTAAATATTTTAATATTTTGGGAATTTGTTACTCTTATATAGGAGAACAAATTACGAAAATACCAACCCAGTAAAAAAAATGTATTCATAATAGAGAAAAAGTATTGGTGGAGACGTTCGGTGAATGCGTTTTCGCGACAAAACCGTATTGGTGGGTTACGGTGAATACATTTTGCTAACCGTGAATACATTTTTTTTAAACTTTCGATTTAAAGATTCCTAAGCAAAGTTGAGAATATTTATAAAGAGCGTAAGTGACCTGAAGTATAAAAATGACGATTGCGAGAAGGAAATAAGAAATTTTGAGAAAGAACGAAAAATTAAATGTGACAAACCTACAACGTATGATGATGAAAAGGAACATTGACGATACCGACAGAAACTTGAGAAATCCGCTTGTTGGCCAAAAGACTAAATTGCCATTTCGCTAAATTAAAATTTTACACAGTAAGAGGTTAGGTTCGAAACACTCAGTCGGTAAAACAGTTTTGCTGTGCGTGGTTTAGCAAAATGGCAATTTAGCCTTTTGGCCACTAAGCATCCAAGTAAATGTATGTGAAACAGTAAGTTCCGTCGGTAACGTCAAAGTTCCTTTTAATCATCATACGTTGTAGGCACAGAAAAGCATATGGTAATTGATAAACATTTGACAATCTGTTTGTCACATTTAATTATTCGTTTTTTCTCAAAATTTCTTATTTCCTTCTCGCAATCGTCATTTTTATACTTCAGGTCACTTACGCTCTTTATAAATATTCTCAACTTTGCTTAGGAATCTTTAAATCGAAATTTAAAAAAAAAGTATTTACGCGGTAAGCAAAATGTATTCACCGTAACCCACCAATACGGTTTTGTCGCGAAAACGCATTCACCGAACGTCTCCACCAATACTTTTTCTCTATTCTGAATACTTTTTTTTTACTGCGAAATCAATCCCACAACTTTTTTTTTTAAGGTGGTCCACTTCAGAAATTTCGCCCCATATACATACATGATTTTTTAAAGAAGACCTATTGTTATAAAAATATTATAAAACAATTAGCCTGCATATATACTCGTTCCAGCCCATGGGCACAAAAACGTAGATATCAAAAAAGTAACTATTGGGATCCTGGCATGGGGTCCAATAATAATTTTTGAGGTTAAAAATGTTTTTAAAAAAATTTTTTTTAAACAATTTGTTATAAAGAAATGAAGATAAACTGATTTTTATAAAATCATGTAATATATTTTCTCGTAGTAGTTTTTCGCGTAGAATCGGATGGCGCTATCAGTTTTTTATAAAAATCAATTTTTCTTAATTTGTTCATAACAAAATTTAATATTTTAAATTTATTTATATCAAAAAAAAATTTTTTTAAACAAAATTTGTAACGTCAAAAATTATTATTAGTCCCCATGCCAGGTCCTAGTAGTTACTCTTTTGATATCTGCGTTTCTGTGCTCATGGCCTGGAACGAGTATATATGCAGGTTAATTGTTTGTAACATTTTTATAACAATAGGTCTTTTTTACAAAATTACACTACCGTCCACGAGTATCAAGACGATTACTCGCGACTCTATGAAAAAACATGCCATCACTTTTTCAATCATATCTCGTAAATAAAAGGAGATACAAAAAAAACATAAATACGGTTAGAAAGCTAATTAAATTTTGCGTAAAATAAGCCGTCTTTGAAGTCATTTCGTTAACTATTTGTTGAGTTGTAGAGTGAGAAAGAAGTAAAAAAATTTATCAAATTTTCTCATTTTTGTCTCTTGACTTCAACTTTTTCTAAAATCTAAAAAAATTTAGATAAAATTTTTCTAAATACACAGAAATCTTCGTTAGAATTTCAGCTTTAATATAAGCCATCAAAAATTAAAAAAGGTTAATCCGTCTTTGATATACCTATCATTAAAAATGTGAAGCCGTGTTTGGACGATTGGTGCATTGGAATTTAACTGTGACGAATCGATTAAGACTTCGCGCGGTAGCGAATGAGTGAGAAAGCAGGAACGAATTCATGCGGGGGAGCGATGAACTTTCGAGTTTCTTTATATTTCTCGTGAAACATCATTATTTATTATTCCCAGCATAAATCCGTCCCTGTTTTCTATGCCACTCGCAGCCACGCGAAGCTAAAATCGAGTCGTCACAGTTAAATTAATGCACCAATCGTCGACACACGGCTTCACATTTTTAATGATATATCAAAGACGGATTAACCTTTTATAATTTTTGAAGGCTCATATTAAAGCTGAAATTCTAACGAAGATTTCTGTGTTTTTAGAAAAATTTTATCTACATTTTTCTAGATTTTTGAAAAAGTTGAAGTCAAGAGACAAGAATGAGAAAATTTGATAATTTTTTTTATTTCTTTCTCACTCTACAACTCAACAAATAGTTAACAAAATGACTTCAAAGATGGCTTATTTTACGCAAAATTTAATCAGCTTTCTAACCGTATTTATGTTTTTTTGTATCTCCTTTTATTTACGAGATATGATTGAAAAAACATAGAGTCGCGTGTAATCGTTCTGATACTCGTGGACGGTAGTGTATGTAATATATGTTCTCGTAGTAGTTTTTCTCGTAAAATCGAATGGTGCTATTACTTTTTTATAAAAATGAATTTTTCTTAATTTGTTTATAACAAATTGTTTAAAAAAAATTAGTAACGTCAAAAATTATTATTAGACCCCATGCCAGGATCCCAACAGTCACTTTTTCGATATCTGCGTTTCTGTGCCTATAGGCATTCATGGGTTAATGACAAAAATATGCTTTTTGTAGAATCAAAAGACGAATTATGAAAAAATACTCGAAAAATTTTTGCCTGAAAAAACCTGGAAAAAAGTTTTTGAAATTTTGAAAATTTTTTTAATAGGGTATTACAGAGGTACCATTTTATAAAATTGACAAAAATATCTCTAAAAGTGTCTACTTTAACATATAATTTTTCTAGATTTTTAAATTAAGTGGGTGTGAAGTAGAAATTTGGTTACTTTGGGGTAATAGAACAATTTTGTCTTAGTTTTTTGTACAATAAATATGATGTTTTAAACATGTCTAAGGTAGTAAAAGTTATTGCATTGAGAATGGTTTACATTATCCAAGTGTTGGTTTCGAACTCATCACGTCAACTAATATCGAAAATCTAGATAACGACCAGAGATTCCATTACCTGTTCTAATCGTTATCCTTTTAAAAGTAAGATATTATTTTACTCATTAGAACATTGTCAACTCTTCTTTCCTGGTTAAATTTCAAACAAATATTCTCTTACAAAAATTTTTTTGAACATTTCAAAATGAAACTTTTATGAATTTAAAAAGAATTTAAAAAATTTTGTTGTAATATTTTTACTTGTCTTTTCCGCATATCTAAGGCTCATTAAAATCCATCCAGTAGTTTTTGGATCTCGAAATCAACCCCTGGTAAAAATTTCGGACTAATTCCGGATTAAATACGTCGGAACTGGTGTACCTCAAGGATCGGTATTGGGGCCTCTTTTGTTTATACTTTTTACGAACGATCTGGGGAGTGTTCTCAAGTATTCTAAGCATATGTTTTTTGTTGATGACCTGACAATAAACCGCACTATTTCGGATAAATTCTGGATTCACTAGTTAAAATTAACTGATTAATTTCGGACTTCATCGGACCAACTCCGGTTTCACTAGTTGTTCACTAACCGTATAGAGTTCGGATTTTTCCGGATTAATTTCGGGTGACAAATACCTGACCATAAACCGCATTGTTTCGGACAAATTTCGGATTAGTACGAAATCTGTCCGGTTTTTTAACCAGGGAAACGATTCGTTCCCTCTCAACATAACCTCCAACTATACTGTGTTTGCGCAACAACTTTATACTTGTTGGAAATCACAGACGTGATTTCTATAAAAACTTAGCATTTACACAATTTTCGTAGATAGTGTAAGTTGTGTCAGTAGTTCAGGAAATGGTGCCAATTGAAGCTTGTGGTTGTTCGATAACAAAAACTACTTAACTTTAAAATGGTCTCGACTATTTATTTTGTAAAGTCATTTCAATGCAACCTAAATTAATAATTAAAAATATAATACCTTATTAAATTTGTGTGAGAAAGAGGGATATGCGTCTGTTGATCAAGTCCATAAATTAAAATTTGGATCATAATATTCCTAGTTCCTTTATTTTTAGCTTTTTTTATATTTGAATTTATATTAAAGTTGTTTATGACTCCTGCTCCGATATACCCTATAATGCAAGTTGTAAGGTTCTTCTGTATTTCAGCAACAATATGTTCAACGTCTTCAATAACAGCATCAGTTACATACAGCGCTACCATATTATCAGATTTGAGTGATTTGAGTGATATATTTAAAAATGAGGAATGAACACCATCGGAAGCAATAACTGTAACATATTCTGTCATTTTTGCATTAAGATTAATGTAAAGACTTCCTATGTTTGGATGAACATAAAATGCCACGTTTTCTTTAACACTGTAAGTAATGATTGCATTTTCTGCTTCATCCGAATCTGTTGCCTATAAAAAAATTCATGCATGCATTATTAAATAATATTAAAAATATTTAAATTAACAATCTTATGAGAACTGTTAGTGAAGGTCAGAGTGAATATTATATGTGACGCTACACAGTGAAAGGGATCTATCTTTCAAAAAATTATAGGTTATGGTTATAATTCTTGATAGGATAATATATATGAAGTAGATTATTTTTAATGTAAACTAATGATTTGTTTATGAAACAGATATATGCACGTAAAATTCAAGCAAAAAATTATCAATCAAAAAATCTGTCAATTTTGCACTTGCAAGTAGCATCATGTCAACTGACGAACTTTGGGTAGGTCATGTCATAAGGGTGCAACTGTTGTAACCACAAAGTACTTAGGAGCTGCAACAGTTGTATGAAGAAAACAAATTCTAGTCTACGAAAAAATCAGTCTTTTTTAGGACTAAAAGAATTAAAATACGTTCTAAACACGCGATTTCAAGATGTAACATTGGGGTCTCTTCTCTTTTGTGAGGTGAGATCGTGTCACTACAGGGGTGAGGTATGGGATTCAGTGGCTCGTATTATAAGGAGCAAATTGAGTGCAGGCAACTGTCGCGATGGTGTGCTACCATCTCGTGCAAATAAGAAAATTAGTACATTGCACAACACGTGTGGTGCACTATCTGAATTAGAATATTGCGCTATTTCATGAGTTTACCCCTCGCTAAAAAAGTATTGGGAGGTACAGGATCCCGTATTGCGAGTGCCATCTTGCCAATACAAAATTCGCAAAATACAGCATTGTGTGTCGTAGTGAATACGGAAATCAAAGAGTCCCAATGCGGTGCAAGTTTTAAGCTTTTAAAAAAAAGAAAATACGTGACAGGAGTAAATACTTACTGTCAGTGGAGAAAAATACAGAATCTACTGCATTTCGCCACTAAAGGGCATAAGCAAGTAGAGCGAACACAGTGATGGCCCAGCTGTCATATGATTTGCATTACATTACTTTCCAATTTTTCATTTTATAACCGCATTTCTGCATGAATTTAAACAATATTTTTTATTATTGTAATTTAGAAGATGTTTACCAATTGTACGTTGGCAGATTTGTAAAAAGTGTCTGTGTTTGGCAATAAATATGTTAGTAAATGTTTGATTACCTATTCCATGTTATTTAAACTAGTTAGTGTTGCATTTGTTGCGTCGCATTGAAACCAGCCTACGCCGCATTGGACTCATATTTGACAGTTAATCTTTATTTCCTTAAAGTTTAATTTTTACACTCACTATTATTATTTTCTCGTTCCTTTCACTCGCATTTTTCTACACTGGCACTAATTGTTTACTTCTGTCACGTATTTTCTTCTTTTTAAAGCTTAAATCTTGCAACGCATTGGAACCCCTTGATTACCGTATTCACCACGACACCCAATGCAGTATTTCTCGAATTCCGTATTGGCAATGTGGCAGTCGCAATACGGAATCCCGTACCTCCCATTACTTTCTTTACAGGGAAAATCATAAAAAGGCGTTGATAATAAAAAGCATACTTAATAGAAAAGATCGTTGAGAAAAGTGTATACATTTTGGATAACAGAACCACTGTGAAACAGACGTCACTAGTTCAACGCTCGCGATGGTTTCGGGGGGTGACACCCCCTGAATTAAAAAGAATCAACTAAAAAGAATTATACTCAATCTTGACATTTCAAATAACATGTTTTAAAATGAACTATAAAACTATAAAATAGTTTTTATTTATTTATTTTATAGTAAAATATGAAAATAGTAAGGCACGGTATAAGTAGATGTTTGGTTGTATTTAAATACTGATATATTAGCTCTTATTGAAACTAGTTAGACTCAATTTTGAAGTTATGTTTGCCTTTTCTTCAATGAAGTTGGCCTTGAATGACCTGAAACGTATGTTAAAATTTACTTAACCCCTTGACAGCCCATGGCCCATATATGACTACGAAAAGTCGTGCCACCTCTGCGTCTGTGGCCACATATGGCCATCTAAAAAAAAAATACAAAACATAATTCGATTTGAGTAGCGAAGTATATACTAAGTTTTTGGAGTCGCTGAATCCGAATTTGAAGTCAGATTTAAAAAATTCAAAATGGCGGATCCAAAATGGCGACTACAAAAATTTAAATAATTCAGATTTGCTTGAAACTCGTTACTTGGGGGATTTTCGGGGTCGCTGATTACGAATATGATATCAGATTTTCAAAATTCAAAATGTCAGATCTAATATGATGGCCCAATATGGCGGATAATTTCAATATTTATGCTATTCGATCGAAATTTGTTTCTCGGGGGTTTTTGGGGTCGCTGAATTCGAATTTGATGTTCGTTTTTCAAAATTCAAAATGGCGGATCCAATATGGCGGATAATTTCAAAATTATTGCTATTCGATCAAAATTTGTTTTTGGGGTAGCTGAATTCGAATTTGATGTTCGTTGTTCTAAATGCTAAATTGCGGATTCAATATGGCGAACAAATTTATTGCATGTTAACGAATTTTTATCAAAAATGTTTACTTAACCTTTTTAGGTTTTTTTTGTTTTATTCAAAAATTCACAAGAATAAATATTTTTAGACAAATTCATTAACTTTTAAAAAAGTAGGTCGCCCATATTGGATACGCATATTTGATTTTTAAAAAGGAACATTAAATTCGAATTCAGCGACCACAAAAACCTTATACATATATGATAAAAGCATATTTTTTGTAAACTTTTTTTTCGGTCCGTTTTTAAACCACAAGCGATTTTTAACTGGACTGCGAAGGGGTTAAATTGATATAAAAATTAACTTTTGAACAGCAGAAAAAAATTAAGTCGAATTTGATATAAACTTTGTTGTCACCTAAGAGCTATTCACCTGTATGTTAAAATTGACTTACATAAACGTAAGGTAGTTGCACCAGTGAAAGAATTAACACCATTAAGGGGGAGTGACACCTTTGAGGTGCCTTTTGAACCTGTTTTTCATGAATTTTTTAAAACACAGGAATAAAGTAAACAACATTTGGTTTCGAGGACTTTATTTATTAACTTTTTAAGTTTACGAAAATATATTTATATTTAAAGAAAGTTTCAATTTGTTACCTATAGAGGGCGCCGAAGTTGGTCTTGTTTCTATGCAGGGCAAATCGGTGGACAATATTCTGGTTAGACCGTTTAATCGAAAACAAAAATTCAAAGTTTTTTTTGAATCTGTGATAGATTTAGCTTTCGAGTACGTAGGTTATTTTAAAAATATTAATTTTTGTGTATTTAGCAGCTGTTTGATAAAAAAAATCGATTTTTAGGGCGAAATTTTTTCAAAATATCTATTGTCAAAAAAACCCACAAAGAATCCGCTACGTACTCGAAAGCATTAGTAAATGACGAACAAAAAAACTTTGTCCGAAGTCAATCCGATCAAAACTGTTACGACTAGACTGCCCACCGTTTTGAAAAATGTCATTTCGAGAAAAACGCATTTAAACTTATGTAATGTGAGACAATGAAAAATGCAACCACTGTTAATCTACGATGCCTGCTCCATATAAGTGACTTTTCTACATAAATATTTTCTTCATTTCCATTCTTTAGAGCAATTTGAAGCTGTCTTCAGTATTCTTGAGCTGCTACGATAAATGAAAAAATAGCCAATGGCGCTAATGTCTCTGCTGCATCTTTGTCTTTGCAATGTGCGACATTTTCTACTGATCTTCTTCCTTGTGACAGTGCGTCATTAAAAGTTGGCCATATTAATATCAATTCGCTAAAGTCAAATATTAATCTTCTTCGTACACACATGTCATCAAATGATTTTCATATTATGGCTTTAAGTGAAACGTGGCTAACTGAAGAAATTAGAGACAGTGTGGTAAATGTTGACAATTATTTTTTAATTCGTAGGGCTATCCCTAAGTAGATAAGCGTGGTGGTGGAGTAGCTGCATATGTTAGAAGAGATTTTCTTACAAGGGTTCTTTTTTCATCTCCTGGTAAATTTGATAATAGGCCTGAATACATTATTTTGGAAATTGGAAGTCAGGGTGTAAAACCGTTACTCTTTACTGTAGTACATCGAAGGCCAAGAGGGAATAACCTTGATGACTTTGAGTATCACCTTACAAGATTTATTAATGCATATAGTCATGTAATAATATGTGGTGATTTTAATTATGATTTAAATAAAAATACATTTGAATCTAATTATATTAAAACTTTTTTGAGTTGCTCGCTAACCACGGTACAGAACGGACGTGTTTACATATAGCTCCGTATTATCAAATTTGTATATTAAGTGTTTGATTTTAAATTTCTTTTTCCATTAAAGTTACATTCGTTTAATTAATAATGACAACGAACGATGATTTAAAAGTTTTATTGATAAACATTCAAAGCGATTTAAACAAAAAATGGACATAATAGAAAAGGATATTAAAGAGTTAAGAACAGAAAACGCAAAATTCTCAAAAGATTTCTCGAGTCACAACGCTCAGTGTCGCGAGTTGAAAGTGAAAAACAAAATATTATCTATCTGGATAAAAAAATATGAAAATTATTTATTGATTGAAGATATGAATAGAGTGCAAGCTTCAGGATCGTTATCACTGCTCCCATACTTTTTTTTTTTTTTTTTTTTGCTTAGGGAATTTTGGGAAATCTACCTACAGATACCTTGGATTCCGCACTCCAAGGTTATGTGGGGTTGGTGTGATAAAACAAAAGGAAATATAAAAAAAAGAAAAATAAATATATAAAATAGAAAATTTAATAAACTGGCTACCTACTGCCAGCCCGACCCACTAAAACCCGTAACCTTTCTTCTGGAGCCCTTTACCCTCCCTCGGAACTGTCGTAAGACTTTAGCCTTCGAGGGTGGCGCTCCAACTCTGTCGCCAATGCAACTTTCTGCCTTTCTCTGCGGTTATCCTGCGTCTTTAGTTAAAAATTTAAAACTATTTAAATAAATAAAATAAATAATTAAAAATTATTCGCTCCTTTTAATATTCCTTATTTACTTTTAGTCCTTGCGAGAGTCTTCTTCGCCTCCTCAAGGGCCGTCCTGAAGACTCCGCATCCTCCACTTCCTGCAATATGGGTGGTTGACACCTTATTGCCAATCTTTTCCTTGCACAAAAAGCAACTTGAGTTGTTTTTACAGTTGGAGAACCTGTGACCGGCCTCACCACACTTAAAGCACGCAGCCGATCTGTCCTCCTTCTGGCATTTGGCTCCAATATGGCCGTATCCCAGGCATCGATGACACCGGACGACCATTACTCTTCTTTTGATTGGGCAACACATAAAACCAATTTTTACGTGTCCCAATTTCTCCAGCCTGTTCGCCTCTTCCAGGTTGGTGACTACAACCGCGAGCTTCATCCCTCGGCGGTTGGGTCCTAAGACCGTCACTCTCCTGTTTACTGGCTTACCCATTGCTTCAGACAACACTTGTTGCACCTCAGCTTCTTGGGTAAGGCAATCCAAATCACGGATCTCGAGTGTAACTCTTCGATCCAATGACTGCACCTTACCCTTGCTTCCAACCGCCTTGGTGACATCAGCGGTGAAAGCGTCCTTATCGGAGTCTCCTCTGAACTTAATCAGAAGGTCCCCCTTGTTTGTAGCTTTTGCTGCTACTATTCTCGTATGGCTGTCCTCTGGGTTGACCTCTTTGCGAAGCTTACCCAGAACGTCAGCATACGTCAATCCTTCACCGACTCGGATTAGAATTGTGGATCTTTTTGACCCAATTCTTTCCAATTGAGGAATCTTTGAATCTGGTACTTCCGTTTCCATTGGAGGAGCTTCCTCCTTCTTCCTCTTATCGGTTTTGGTTCGAGTCTCTTCTGGACTGTCACCCTCTCTCTTCCGTTTCTGAGCATCTGTTAAGACGCTTTTGAGATTACGCCTATAAAAACGCTCTCTCTCTTTCTTACGGTCCTTGCGGTTGCATTCCGCACCGCTCAGAACGCATGCCAAATCGACGTCCGACTCATCGGCAGCGGCATGCTTTGCCCTTGCCTCCTTTAGCAGGACGTCGATGACCTTGAGTCCATCCTTTACCGTCCTATTGACGGTCTTCTGAATGTCGCAAGATTTTATCATCTTTGCGACCTCCAACTCCATTTTTTCGAGACAAGTCGCCTCCTCCTTTCTGAGCCGCAAGCATATCTCGCGAGTCTCTTCTATCGCCTCGTCGTCTACTTCTGAATGGATAGCGCTATGAACGGTTTTTCCGCTACTGCAGCTTGACACACTCAGAAGGCTCGACGTGCTTCCTTTCCTCGTTTTTTTATTTTCCACGATGTTCTGTGGATCTACCCTTTCCACGATCACTCGTGGCACTGCAAGAAATTGTGCGCCCCCACAATCCGCGCGCACTTTAGCATCGGTCCTGGGACCGATGGTGAGATTTCCCGTTTCCGGCTTGCTCACATGGGGTACCTTCTCAGAATTTTTTGAATTCATTTTTTCTTGCTCCCATACTTAGAATTAAATATAGGAACCAAGAAATATTTTGGACAAAAGATACCTTTAAAATATATTAAATCGTTTAATCCGCTTGTATCACTTGTCTAAGAAGTAATCTGTTTAAACTCAAGACAATATACAAAAATCAACACCTATATGAAGAACCTGTGCCATATATTTTGGTAATTGTGTGCCCGAATACTCTAGAGAAGTCGGCTTGGACCAACACGTGGGAACATAACCTCAATTTCAACAACATCACTCAGCGTTATTCGTGAGATAGATTTGACATAATTATTCCAATCAGGCTATAATTTATTATCTCGAGGACTACAAATTTACAAACCATTTCAAAGATTCAACATTCTTCTTGGAATACTCAAACATCAACTCACTGCACGAAACTCAAACTGCTCGGATCATTCGAAGGAAATACAGTTCATTTCAAGTTCCTAAAATCCTACTATCCTTTCTTTTCTACCTATAACCTAAACCATTATTTTAATTAATTCCTATATCCTTCTACCCTCCACAATCGAGAGACAAGGAAGAATTTAAAAGTTAATTGTTGTTTTACTAATTTGTCTTCGTTTGTTCAATTTATTTTATCTTTTAAGTTCTTGTTTTACAAAACTTGTTATAAATATGCTTTTTAACTAAGTGCTTAG